ACATAACCGTTGCCGGCGGTCCGCCCGTGGCCCGACCCGGCCCGGCCCGGACCGCCGGTGCAAAATTTTTTTTTTAGGACCGGGACCGAACCGCGGCCCTTGCGGTTCGGTCCAACGGACCGGCCCGAATATGGCCGGTTACGGGCCGGTCCGGGCCGGTTCGGTCCGTGGCCATGTCTAAACGGGGATGGTGAAAATCGATGAAGGAAGGCACACAAAATTTGGGAGATTTTTTGCTGACTGCGATTGCGTGGGAAGATTTTGGGGAAAAGATAAATTTGAGAGAAATTGTGTGTTAAGTAGTGTTTGTTGGTAAATATAAGATAAGAATCCTGTTTACGTTGCTTGGAGTTGGAGGAGATTGGGTTAAGCAAAAATTTTATTTTAAATAATTAAGAAATGTATCCGAAACAAAAATCGAAACATGTAATGTTGTCAAGTATTATATTAAGATAAGAAGAGGGGAGAGGGGATATAAATATAAAAATTGTTTGTTCTCATTTCTAACATTATATAAATAATGTTGAATATATTTTATCACTATATATATTGTTTGTATTTGTAGATAGTGTTTGTACCTTGTTTGCAATCATTATAAAAACTATTTGTTGAATATAATTTTCTAAATAAAATATATTTGATATATATATATGTATGTATGTATTGTTGTTTTGCTAAATATATAGTAACAGATTTATGACTTAGATTATCGAGAATTTACTATAACTTTTTAGGAAATACTTAATTAATCTTCTAATAAATAAAATAATACTGGTATAAATAATATTTTATTTAATTGTATTTCTGTCAATATAATGATAATTTAAAAAACTAAATATATACATACTATATTTCATTAAGTTAAATTTTTGGTATTAAAACTAATTTAAAATAATGAGAACAAAATGTAAATATTCATATAGAGTAAAATAGAAAACGAACTATTGGAGATGAATCTTAATGGTTGGTTAACTATATTCTAGAGTAAAGTAAATTCTACACTAGAATATAGATAAGAGTTAGAGATGATTTAACAGTATGATTTTGGCTACGAAATGTCCAACATACAACTCAAAATCTAAGGAACTTCTCAAACATAACCCAATTCTCAGCCATTATGCACATCCATTATACCGCAAAAATAGCCAACATAACCCAATTCTCAGCCATTATGGACATCCATTTTAGTTTTACTGCAAAAATAGCCATATATATAATGTATCTACCCAATCACACTCACAGTTTCAGTTTGAATCATAAAACTCAATTATTTTCAGCACAATTTGTTCATCCCACTAAAATTTACAAGATGGAGACCCAACCCTTCCATACGTGTTTAAAATCTAAATATATGAAAATAACTTCTAATGTTAGTGACCTGGCCAAGAGAGCAGCCCAAGTTATCAGCCCATACAACACCTGGACTTTTCTAATTACAGTAATAGTAACATGTGATTAACAACCGGAAAAAAAACGCCAAATGTGAGGTTACAGCAGGATCACCTGCAAAAATACGCTCCAAACTATTGACAATTGTCACACAAAATCAAATAACATAAAAAATAAATATAAACCAAATTGGAAAAAACTACACGGCTGTTAATTCTCTAGACTACAAGGTGAAAATGTAAAATTAGCTGCAAATGATAGGTAACCGCTTATTTCTTAAGGTACCAACACTAAACCAGATCAATAACAGGGCAATTTGAACATGGCATCACAAAAAATAACAGCCATCACAAATGTTCTAATAAGCAGAGAATATTTACGAAAAACAGATAAAAATGTTCTTAGTTATTGTCACAAATGTCAAAAACTATCAATCCAAAGGATCAAAAACCGTCTCCGTGTTGAGCTTCATTGAAAAAAAATAAAAAAAATGATAAGAAGGTATCTTGAACATAATCCGATCATCACAATAACAAATGCGCAATCAATAACAAGAATTCAACGGTACGATTTCTGGAACCTCGCGCGGGCGCCGCGTCCTCCAAACTTCTTGGGCTCACAGCGCCTGGGGTCGGCCACCAGCAATGTCCTGTCGTAACTCACGAGGATGTCCTTGATCTCCTTCTTCGACTGCTCGTCGACGTACTTCTGGTAGAAGGCGACGAGGGCTTTAGAGATGGACTGGCGGATGGCGTAGATCTGGGAGGTGTGGCCGCCGCCCTTGACGCGGATGCGCATGTCGACTCCTGCGAATCGGTGGCGGCCGAGTAGAAGGATAGGCTCGAACGCCTTGTACCGGAGGATCTCTGGCTGCACGAGCTCGATCGGGACGCCGTTGATCTTTATCAGTCCGCGGCCACGCTTGCAGTGAGTCACGGCGACCGCCGTCTTCTTGCGCCCGAAGCATTGGACAAATTCAGTTGCCGCCGCCATGGTTGATGTTGTGATACTGCTTGTTTCTCTCACTCGTTCAAGTAGGGAATTAGGGCTTTGAGGCAAATCCTGAAATGGTATGTTGATGACACGACTCCTAGCTGTGTCTTAGGCCAGGAAAAGGCCCAGATTAACTTTCTGGTACCAATTTTGTGGGCTTTTATTGATCTTTTATTTAAAATATTAAAGTAAACATTTAGAGTTGGATTATTGGATAATTGGAAGAACGTAAAATACATGTATTGAAATAAAATAAAAAGTAGCTTATATATTATTTTTGGTGCATCGTAAAATCCATGTATTGAAATAAAACAAAATGTAACTTTTAATATTTTGTATTTATTCTTTGTTGAAGACAAATAATATTTTTCATACAGTTCGGTCGCGCTCGATTACTGTAGTGTGCAGTCCTACAAACGACTATGTACAAATCGTCTACAACTATTGTGCATCCACACACTATTGACTTTTTTTAACAATTTATACCAAAGAGGACTAACAATGAATCAAAATAATCATGTTATTTGATCGGTTAACCAAATTAAATTAAAAAATCGATATAATTCATTTTTTATATTATGAAATATATTTGTTGTTATTATTTTTTACTCAATATTTAATATTATTTTTTGTTGAACATATCTAATATATATATATATATATATAAACATAATGTGCGTTTTAATCGAATTTTTCTTCTGTCGAATTTGGTTGCTATTGTGCAGTCTATTAGGTATTAATGTGCGTTTCGTCTATTAGTATTGTGCACTCACAACGTGTAGCCTATATTTAATGTGAATATACAAAATATATTTTTGCATTTTATTTATCATTAATATGACTTTATTAAACTTTCTATAAATTACAGATTTGGCACATGAGCCAAATTGAAATAAATTGAAAATTCATAAAATTACAATTAGATCTTTGTACATTATCTAATTTTCAAAAGAAAGGTCCAAGCATCAAAATCTATCAAAGTTATGAAATTAGTTTGTTAGAGAAAGCCCTAAGGAAGGGTTTTTCATCGTTCCGATGATCACCTTCAAAGTGTAATGGATTGCATTTCAATCATGAGTAGTGGGTTCCTGCTAGCTGCAGGATTTGCTCCCGTACGCATATGTATATAGAACTTCTGTACCTATGGGATAGGGATAGAGGAAGAGGAAGAGGAAAAAACCGAAGGATTCACTTTGATCGAAAAATCAATCAGATTGATTCGACGATATACAACATATAGCTAACTTGACAGAACCAATTAATTTGTCTATTGGATTAGAAATCAATAGAAATCGCGAATATATTCAAAACATGCCACCTACCGTTCAAGGTGGACGTTATCCTAGAAATGCTGTATTCACGCCCATCACGTATAGGCTTTAATCATGGACTAACCATCGGGGGGAAGTCGGGATCCTTCTACTTCTCCAAGCAAAGCTCTTCGGATTGCAATCCCTATCGTGTCGGCTTGCCCTGTCATAAGCGGGGACAAAATAAAGCGCCCATAATAAAGGCGTTTACTGTCTCTTTTTTTGTAAGCTATTATGCCTCCGATGGATTGGGCTTGCCCGAAAACGACGTGTATAGAAATGAACAGCGAATAAATTTCAAAATAAACAAGAGAAATAAATAATTCAATCAAATAAAATAATATTACGTCTCTTTGAGAATAAATCGGAACTTTGGTGTAGAGTGATCGGGTCTATGAGATTACAACGACCAGTACATATACGTCGCTAATCCTCTTAGAAGCAAGAATTCGAAACCGAGGATTGATCATCAGACCTATTTCAATGCACATCATTGTCTTCCCTAAGATTTGAATTGAGGATTCCATCCAATCAGGCGTATTCCAAGACAAGTCCTCTAACACCTCAAACAAGGGTTGAAGACGGATTCTTTTTTTTTCTTTGATGCAGCAATCCCAAAGTTTCTTTTTGATTCAAAAAAGGAAAATTCTTGTTTTTTCGCATTCTTTTTTTTTGTACCAAAAGTATCACGAGGCGTTTCGAATACGAATAAAAGAAACCATCATTTATTTTTTTTAAATTGAAATTTGTTAGAATTCATTGTTTTTCGTTTCGCCTGATCAGTTAAATCAAAAAAGTGAATCATTCACTTGTTTTATGGAAAGAACCAATCAAAGAATTTCAGTCGCCCGGGCCGGGTCATTGCGACCCCCTTTATGAGGAGGCACCCCTTCTCCCGAAGTTACGGGGCTATTTTGTTTCAGAAAAAAGGGTATTTCTTGATAATGAAGAAGAGATCTTAATTTATCCAAATTACTACGAAAGAACCTTTTTTTTCTAATTCCTACGATGCAATTGGAGCTTCGGTTTGAATGATAGAATCCTCGAAAAAACTCCTTATTCTAAGCTTCAAACTATGCTTGAAACTCCTAGAACAAACTACCTGGATTTCATTTCTATGGCACATGCCCGCTATGGTTCGACTCCTTCTGCGCCGACAATAAAACTCAGAGCCCATCCTAAAATTCAAATAATGAACCTTCAAATACAAATACTTAGTTGAGGGGATTTTTCCTCAATTTGATCCTAAAAAAATTATGGAGCGGTTGGTTGAAAACGTGGTTCCGGGCATCCCGATGGTGTTGTTAAGAAAGATCTTTCTTTTGAGGTTCCAAGATAAAGATAAAAATTTTTCTTCTGAGATTCAACAATTAAACAAAAGGATTCGCAAATAAAAGTGCTAATGCTACAAACCAATTAATTTTTTATAGCGCTTTCTATTTCTTTTTGACAAATAGAATCACACTTTTACCACTAAACTATACCCGCTCCCGGTCGGAATGCTTTGTGGGTTCCGAACAGCTATAGTAGCTGAACTTAATAAAATAGCAACATTGAACAACTCATAGGTATTGAACCAAGCAAGGCCGTTAAGGATAGGCACTGAAAACTGTAAGCTACATAACAGATATATTGATCTGTTTCTCCACGAACGGATTAGGCCTTAATGGAAACCCGTCACAAGAATCTTTCACCTGACCCATACTTTTAGCCAATTTAGCTCTTAATACAGGGCGAGTCTGCAATGCATCCGAGGTAGGTAGGCGGTGTAAGCTAAACCCAGGAGGGAATGTAGGTTTTAAGCGAAATGAAGCACTTAATCTCTTAAGATGGGCCATGGCTACTTGGCCTTGTTGATCAGGAATTGAAAACTCCCGCTCTATCAGTAGACCTGCTAAAGCCCCGAACCCCTTTTATTACGGTATCTCTGGGGAAGTGCATGGAGAACCCAAAGCACCATATGGTCCGATTCGATAGCTTCTGTTCTATCTGCTATGCTCTTTAGGACTTCAGGACGGACTCTTTGACTCCCCCAACTAGCTCTCTCCAGCTTCTGAATCTCGATTAATTGAATCTCCCGCCCCGGGGATTGTTTAAGCAATTCACGCAATCGTTGACCTCCACCCATTGATATACTCCGAAATTCCTGGTAGCCTCTCTGCTGTAGTAAGATGAACGGTCTCATTGCATCAAACAGTCAATTCTTCCATTTCTTAAATTGTCAAATCGAACGGTAAGCCGACCTGTTAGCGCAGAAAATGAAACGGATCAGAGAAAGGGAAACAAAAATAAGAAAGAACTCACCAAAACAGAATATGAACCATAAAAGAAAATACCTATTAAACCGATCACAAGAATACCTGCTACAGTACCTATTATCCAAAGTTTTCTAGCATTCTGTATATTTTTTTCTTTTATCTGAAAATTTATTGTATTTTCATCTAATCATCATTCCTCCTAGAGTAGCTCTTAATAGGAATAAGAGAAACTCTATTATAGCCATTTCTGTACATTCAATGTACTCTACTCTACGGATAGAGGAATACATCAAAAGATGCGGTCAATACTGCCAGAACCACACCTGTAACCCAAGTTAATTCGCGAGGTTTTTTAAATCCACCAGTGAGATATACACGAAAAACATTGGCAGAAGATAGAAAGGCAATTTCTAATTGTAACTAAATCTTATTAAAACCATTGAATTCAGAATATGGTAAAGTAGCTCCGGGGTGGGGAACGACCCCTTTGATGGTTGTCACAATGGCTGTATTTGCGATATTTCTATCTATTATTTTGGATATTTATAATTCTTCCGTTTTGTTGGATGGAATTTCAACGAATTAAATCTATAAGAATCACAAAGTTCTGGCTTTTGAATAAAAAAGAACTTAGTTAGAACTGGGATTTCTGGCTTATTCTATTTTGGTAGTTCGATCATGGAATTTCTTTCTTCCTCTATTTCCAAGAGTAAGCAGAAAGCGTCGCCTAAAAAGGGAATAGTTTTCTTCCGTTCGTAAAATTTGTAAAAAATGTCGACTAATCCGCCGGCGGGGGCGCATTATAGTAATTTGTTCCAACCCGAGGCATAAACAAAGACAAGGATCATCAGACTTATTAAAGAGCTCAATATACAAATCAAAGAATCTGTTTTGGCCTAAAATCTGAAAGTCCCACAACGCAAATAGACGGACAATTTCTAACAGCTTTTTCTAGATTAATCATATCTGATTTGAAAAAAGACTTGTTTTTTATTCTATGTAAAAGTCAAATTCAGGAAAAGAACTGATTGTGTGGGAAATACTTGAGGAAGTTATGCAGGGGCATCCTGTATTACTGAATAGAGCACCCACTCTGCATAAACTGGGCATACAGGCATTGCAGCCCGTTTTGGTTGAGGGGCGTGCTATTTGTTTACATCCATTAGTTTGTAAGGGATTCAATGCAGATTTTGATGGGGATCAAATGGCTGTGCCGAATGAAAGCAAAGTTAAAGCAAAGTTTCATGTTCGGAGGATTTTCCTTGTTTTCATCCTATCGTATAATAAAATGATTCCAGTAAATAGCAGAATCGTGGATAGGGAACTATACGAGCGGCCTACCCCAATGCGATCGTTTTTTTGGTTTTGAGGATAGCATCATTTTTTATCTTTTGGACCGTCTTTTGTATACTGAGATTGTTAATATTAGGCCTCTTATTGAGTATATTGGTGATATTGATGATAGTGACCCTATTGATGTTAGTGACCTTGAGATGGTGAAGAAGGTATCCGCAGTAACTGGTTTTATTATGGGACAGCTCGTGATGTTCATCTCGATCTATTATGCGCCTCTGCATCTAGCTTTGGGTAGACCTCATACAATAACTTTCCTAGGTCTACTTCGTGGTGGACTTGATTTTACCAAAGATTATGAGAACGTGAACTCCCAGCCTTCTCTAACCGGTTTTTGACTGAACTTCGCTTGCAATTTAGGCTTTATTGACTTATTTCATCTCATGGTTCGTACATTAAAAATGAGTAAGGTTTATCCTTCCTTTATAGGAGGTTTTGAAAATAGAATATAAATAGGCTCACCCATTAAATGCCCGGCTTCACCTCTTTCTTTTTCTGACTCGGAAAAATCACTAAACTTATCGAATTCACTTTTCATTGATGCATTCTTTCATCGAGATTCAATCCGCATGATGAGATATAAAATTTAAAAATCCACTTATGTAATAGAGTCGATCCACTAAAGTTTTCAGCAGCGGTGTAGGATCAGATCCCAAAGATAGTAAGTCTTTTCTTTCTTAGAAAGGAAAGTCTTTTTCAAAGATTCCTCATTTGGGACTCTCCAGATACGTTCTCTATCCTATTCGGTAGTCGGCACCCCGACTCTTGGGTAGGCGATCAGCCCCCTGTCTCTTGGGGAGAATTATTTGATGTTGAGAAAGAGACGTCAAAAGGGGCTTGTGGCTCGAAAAAAAGAAAAAGGTAAATCCTTGGAAGATCCAGGGCAAGATTTTGAGGGTTTTCTAGCAGTTTCTGTGAGCAGCGAAACTCGCGACCCAAGCTTCAATCCCTCCGATTTTGGTTGGTTTTGTTGCTGGATCCTTGCCGTTACTACACCTTGTTGATGCAACGAACTCTTTCTATTCCACGAGCACGGCGTAGGTCCTGGCTAATCCTTTGCTCCACAGCCCCGGGGCTATTTACAACTAGCCAATTAAGAATTCTCAGATGTATTAGCAATGCATCTTTGATGCAGTCATCGATAGAAAACGCTATAAAGAAAAGTGATATTATATGATCATTTTTGAACTTTCCATATATAGAAAAGAAATAGAAAGAGATAGACTAGAAACGAGATCGAGTGGCTTTCGCTCCCCTACAAAGGAGAGAGTTCCTTTGAAATAGGTTCCACTTGGGATGTTAGATAGGTGCCTTATTTGATATAGTAAGGGGAGCTCGATCGATCCTCTTCGGATACTTCGTCCAACCCAAGGATAGCTATAATGTCCTGAAGCTCTTTATAACGTTGTAAGGTTTGTTTTTCAGAAAATACCGGATCCCCACCTACACAAGCAAATTGTTGATAAAACTCCAAAATGGCATTTTCTTTTGATCCAATTTTTTTTCTCTCCTTATCATTCAGTCCAAGTTTTTGGAATGCTCCAAACTCTACTTGAGCATCCAAATCTGGGTCAATACCAGCAAAAACATCTCTGAACAAGGTTCTAGCACCATGCCTTAGATCTAAAGAAAAATAAGGAAGACCTCTTTGTTTTGTATTGATTTTGTTCGAAAGGCCCTTGCTATTCTTATTCGAACGACCCGGCCTGGTCACAGTACCCAGCCGGGCCCATCCTACAGCTCTAGGCGGATAAGGTTTGTTTAAAGCGCTAAAATAAGTGCTATTCGTTGAGAGTTAGAATAGATTCGTAGACCGGGTCGGCTGCCTTCGACATCCCCCCCTCCCCCTTGCGGTTAAGGTAAGGACTTCGGGCATGGCCAGCTTTCCTAGTGTGACGGTGACGGACACGATAGCTTGAAAGACAGGGTTGTGTTCAATGAGCTCCAGTTCTGGTTCGTTCTCCATCTCATACTTCTTTTGAATCGGTCGAAGATTTCTTGTGTTGAAGACTAGGAAGAAAAATAATGACTCGCATAATTGTTCCCCGCACTTATAGTTCCTCCTTCAGATTCAAAGTAGCAGTTTCTTTTCCACATCCAGGCCAAATGCCCCATTTGTACACGGTGGGGGTTCTGTTTTTCTTTAATTGGCGGTTCTGACTATTGGTTTATACGGCCGAAGAAGAGCAGCTCCGACCAGACATCCAACACCTGCATTTCGATACGTCTACGTACCAACAGAACAGGGGGATCTACCTTTACCAGTAAAACTGCCTTTTCCTTTCATAATCCTAATGCCAATACAAAGGGAGGAGAGTAAAGGGACTTCCGCATGACAGTTATTATAACACCAACGGCTAAAGAATACATTCCTGGGTAAATATATAGAAGCCCGGTCGGATCCACAATGAGATCAGAAAATCTCTCCCAACCGGAGAATCTCCTTTTGTTTCGCTATAATTGAAAAGGTTTTATCAATAAAATTTCCATAGAAAGTTTTTTCCGAAATCAAAAGAGCTGCCCTTCTATCTATTGATAGACCAAAAAAGGGGGAAAGGCATTGATTCGAGAATCGTATCTGTGGCTACGGCTGCTTATACTGATTAAACCAAGCGATTCGTGTTCAATTGTACAAGCCATTCCTTGTTATTTTATTGAATTTGCTTCACTAATAGGATCCCAATTTGACTTTGACCGCTGACCGAGAGGTGTTAAAGCTGCATAGATTATTTGCATTGCACCCCCAAATAATCCTTAAAGGCAGTAGACTGGATTGCTGCCAGAAATGATCAGATCATCAACTACAACCAGAACATGTAAACTAGCTATTGGGCAAAAAGCATCTTCTGTCGCGCAGGTGATTTTTTGTCAAAACCTGGATTTTCCGACAAAACCAATCTACCAAAACCATGATATCGTGGAAGGAAGAATGGAAAGAAGTCCCTGGCAAAGTCACATCTGATTGCTAAGAAGAGGATTGAGATTCAATTGACCTTGACTTCACTGCGCTTCGGCCTAAAGCGTATACTTCTGTTTTTTTATTTCTTAGCTTAAACATAAGGTTTTTCTCCTACTAATGAATCATAAGTACCATGATGTTGTTAATATCTCGTATAGGCCTTTATGACCCTGGCCTGTAAACGGGCTGTTTTTGGTCAAAAGATTAAATTCTTAATGAAAGCTGGTTATATTTACGGATTTTCATAATACTAGTTTTGGCCTGCTGAGATCCCAAGTCTCTAAGTGGGCCCTCTTGGCCACCCAGCCACATCGTAGCAGCCAGCCTCTCTATACAAGTTCTTCTAAGAATTCCCCTCAACCTCACAATATTTTTTATTTGACATGATTAGTTGAAGAGAAATATCCAAAATCATGTCTTATTATTTTCAATAACCCATACTTGTAGCAATAAAATCCTATTATTCCTCCTCTAAGTGTTGTCAGCTTTTTGTCTGAATACAAACAAAACCAATCGCTTTCTAGATGATCCTCTGCCTACAGCCAAACAAAACTTTTCACTATATTCAATTCCAAACTAAATCACAGTAGAAGTTATGGAAACTCAGGCTGGAAAACAGCAAGCGGAAGGTCTCCGAAAGATGCTCGACTAAAATCCGAGGAGAGGATAGGACTTTGTATAAGGAAGGTTCGCTCGGGTTTGCATTGAAATTCATTTCGATAAACCCCTCTTGTCCCTTTCGATTTGAAGCTGCTTGGCTGACTCACGAGAGTTTTGATGCAATGGGGGAAAGAATACTAAGGAATAGCTCGAACTAGACCCAACTCTTTTACCCCAAAAAATGCCAGTTCGCCCATCAGTCTTCATCGCAGGTTCGCGGCCACCCTCTTCGCCAACCATTCGTTCTGTTCGCTCGCTGAGAAAAATGTCAGTTAGGTTCGCGATCCGCTGCCAAACTTATTCCAATTCCAAGAGCTCGAATCGAATCAGTATATCAACACCGATTCGATCCGAGCTCTTTTATTGAATTGCTCATTCAATGAGCATTCTCGGAACAGGGGAGGATACACCTTACACCACGATTTTGAATCAGAAGAGAGATTTCAAGAAATGGCAGATCTTTGAAAATAGTTTTGTACCGTCTGCTAGAACTTGCAGAATTCCCAACAGCCCAGCGTCTCTAAGTCTTCTCAAGCATTCAACTCGTTCCTTTCTGAAGAAAGGTTTGTCGATTGGGATATTCAAACAAGCACTTATTTGTTGAGGGGAAACTAATCCTGTCCTTCATTGCTATGTTCCTTAGTACCCTCTTCAATCAGAAAATCATTCTCAAAATGATTTAGTAGTGCTTTACCAGTTTGTTTGTTCAAATTGCTAGTCCGATCAAGAAAGTCCAAACTCACGATTTGATGGAAGCTGTTCGAGCAAGCTCCAACCTGTGACTCGACGCGAAAAAGAAAGAATCAGGGCTAATCCGACCCAAAAAGTAATTTTTATCTAAATGGCAGTTCCAAAAAAACGTACTTCTGCATCAAAAAAACGTATTCGTAAAAATTGTTGGAAAGGGAAGGGGTTTTGGGCAGCGTTAAAGGCGTTTTCCTCAGGAAAATCTCTTTCTACCGGGAATTCACCAAAAATGATCATATAATATCATCATATAATCTCAAATAATAAGAAATAGAAATCAAATAATATAATATATAATAGAAATCAAATAAATAATAAGAAAGCATAGTTTATCTTAAAAAAGTAGAGTTTAGTTTTCATTCCCTTTGAAAAAATGACATATTTCAGTTTTTCTTGAATACTATTCGAAATTCAGAAGAATTGTGTGGGGGGGGGCTATCGAACAGCTGGAAAAAGCCAAAGCCCGCTTACGAAAAATGGAAATGGAAGCATATCAGTTTCGGTCCAATGGATATTGCTCTCGGGCGAGAAGTGAAGGAATCTATTGTTGAAGAAATTTACGTAGATGATTTGAATTTTTTTTTTTTTTTGAACAATAGATGTCTTTCACATCGAGCTATATCAATAGGTAAGTTAAGATATTTCCAAAAAGTCGAAAACTAAGCGATAAGGGTTTTGTGAAATCTTCTAAAATGTTAATGGGCCAAAAGAATGCTTTCTTTGCTACAAGAGGTTTTTGTTAGATAACACAAGTGGTGCGCGCTCTATAATTCATTGAGTTAAAGAATTTAGAAAATTAGGAGTTCTTAAAATATTTAAGAAAATAGAAGTTTTTCAAGGAAGAATAAAGGAGGTTATATAAAAAAAAGAAGGCCCCAAAGATTCCAAAAAAAGTAATACTTACTGAAAAAATTGCATCTTTAGAAAATTCATACCAACCTATGAAATCTTTCTTATATCTCCTTTTTCTTCAAAAAAAAATCAAAAACTCTAATCTGACAGCTTGACAAGACAACTTTTACCCTGGTTAAAGTCAAGGGGGTTGCAACAATACACCTCTTAAACTTCCTTATTAGAGTGAAATGGGAGCAGCCTAAACCGTGAAAACGGGGTTGTGGGAGAGCAACACAAGCGTCGTGCTGCTAGGCGAAGCAGAGTAGGAACAATAATCAATTTTTGCTCAAATGGTTTGTAGGGGAACCCTCCCCTCTCTGATCCACACGACGCGAATTGGATATTCGAGAGATCAAAACTTGTTAATTTGGGAAACCACATTCGTAGACCGACAATTTTTCTGGATAGACCCTTACTCTATTTATTTGAATATCTCAGAAAAATTCCAATTTTGGATAAGTTCATTGAATAAGTTTTCTTTTTGATTTGTTATTCTACGGCGAAGTT